CCATCTCAACCCCCTGAGACCCCTCTCAGTGAAGGGGCACCAGGGGCCTCCGTGGTGATGTTGCCTGAGGGCTCCCTCAGTGCTGGCTGCTTGAGAGATCCAAGTTTAAGTCTGGATTGCAGAGATATTTTGCTTCTTGCAGTGACTTTCCCCAGCCCAAATGCAGCCCTTGATGCCCAGCACTCCTCTTGCCTGGTTCACAGGGGAATCCAGCAGGGATTGCAGAAATCTTCCTCACACACCTTCTCCATGGCATCAGCTCTGTGTCCTAGCAAAGGGCACTTCTGTTCAACCTGTTTTCCATGTTGGATGCCTGAATTTGGCAGTTTATAGCCAGGCACCTGAGTAACCAGCCTGATTCTCACAGATATGTGCATGCTCTGAAAACCAGATAAATTTTGTGAACCTCCAGCCTGAGGCTTTGATTGAACCAAATATCAATCCTCCAGTATTGACAGTGTTCCAGATGTGTCTGTAAGAAACACAGGAAAGCCCAAAGGATTATTGCAGCTTCTGAGGAAATCTCTTGTATTTCAAGTAAAATTGGCAGTTTTTATGTGGCCACTCTAATTCTTAAGCCATTAGAAATCTAAAAATTGATTGAACGTTTATCTTATACTTACCAGACATCCACAGAAAAAGTTATGTTCTGTCTGGGATATCAATGTCTTTAATAGCTATGAAATTAAAAACTCTTAGATTAAGGTTTCAAGAGGCTGAGAGGGGAATGGAATGCAGGAGGAAGAAACCTCTGCTGCTGTAATGGGGAATGCCAGGGAAGATAAAGCCCCAGGAGAAGAGCTGAGGATAATGTGCTGTTGGACCAGTGGGGTCAGTAAAGGTGGAGATGCAGAGGTAGCAAACATTATTTCCTTTCTGCCTGGTGAAGCTACTGAAGATAAAAAGCTTTTCCCTGTCTGCAGCATTTTAAAAAAATACATGTTTTGCTTCAGTGTTAATTTTATTCCAGTGTTTGGTTTTGTTTTAGTTGGCTTGGTGCCTCAAAAGTCCAAGGAATTCACCAACTTTAAAGCCAAATTGGAAAAACTGAATCTGGATTTGCAGCGCAGCTCCAAGGCTTGCAAATCAGCCTTCTCCCATAAATACTGCACTGTTTCTGGAAAAGAAGAGATGGATCTTTAAAATATGAGCTGTAGCATTGGGATGTGATGGCACTGCTGTAGATCAACAGCCATCAATCTGTGTTACTTAATTTGTCCCTGGCTCAGCTGTTCACTGTACTTGGGACTTTTTTGCTGTTTGTTTCATTTTATTTTCCTCTGAGATAAATGAAGACAAAAAGAAAGGGTCAATTGTTCTTGACAAATAGAAGTAATTTTTAAAAATATATAACCGTAAAGGATATTTTACATTTCAAACAGCTTTTTTTATTTTCTGACTTTCACAGCACTTTCACAGATCACAGTTAATTTATTTCATGGTGTGTCTATTGAACATCCTTTTATTTTATTGCTTGTTACTCTGATTTTCAGGTCAACTTTATGTGCACTCTTTAAATGCTGTAAAAAAGTCTGTTGGAATAAATAGTTGAGGTGTTTAAACGAAATATTTAGAAACATTATTCCTCATCTGGGCACGGCTGTAACACTCAGGTTGCTTTATTTCTCCTGGGTGTTCTGGGATTCGAGGCCTTTGCTGCTCCAAGTGTCTCAGGAGGCATATGCTGTAATTGTTTGCCATCTTGCACAGGGGCTGGGTGGGTGGCTGGGTGTGAGCTCAACTCAGGCTCATTTGGCTTCTCAGTGATGAGCTTTTTGATGAGTGTCAGACTCTTTCTCTCCTGATGGAATGTCTGTGGAGGTTTCCCTGAAAAGGCATGGCACAGGGAATATAAATACACTGTTCAATCAGGAGCCAGTGTGACTCCCCACACAGATTCCAGCAGCTTTGACATTCCACTGAGTGAGATTTCTGGGAGCAGTGGGGAGGACACCGAGCCTGGCCCTTCCTGCCACCCCTGCTGCAGCCCTCGGGTGCAGGGAGCAGCCAAAGGCACAAAGTGCCTCTTCTTGACTTTCCTTCTTTCCCATGTTTGAGTGGAGAGGGTTCAGAGAAAGCTGCCCCAGGAGGGTCTCCCAGCCTGCAGGACAATGTCTGTGGAGAAATCCTTCAGGGATTTCCCAGGATTCTGCCTTGGTAGCCTTGCAGCACCAAGCTGCTTTGGGCAGAAGGTGCCAGTGAAGGTCAGCCCCTGGCCCTGGCAGGGCTTGGGAGGACAGCTCAGGTTTAGGCACTACCAGGAGCACAAACATTTCAGTGGCCTTGAGTTTGGATTGATAACTTCAAGGGCCAAATGTTCAAAGGGCTGGCTTCCAGTTCCACACTAGTAGTTGAGTATACAAGTACAAAATTATGGGCAGAAAATCACAGAAAGTCTTTTTCCAAGCTGACCTTTCTGAAAAGGAGCCAGCAATTATGTGGATTTGGGCACTGGTTCAGCAGTGGTTTTAGGTGTTGTTAATGCAATATTTTCATTATATTTCTGCTGGACTATTGATTAGCTGTTCAATTATTTAAGAAAAAGAAGTGTAGCGTTGTAGTGAATAATAGCTTTTTGGATGGGTAGTTGTGCTTTGCACAAGTGCTCATGGAGTTTGTGTAAGAACTGACAAAATCCAGTCTGCACCTCTTTGTATGCTGATAATAATCTCATGGAGTGGATGTGCAGTGCCAAACATGTTTGCACATTGTTGCATCAGTGTAGGAACACTTCTCAGTTTGTAACAAGCTTATTTTCAAAGCACCTGGCAGGCTGGCCACTCCTCTTCCCCTGGGGAAGATACTAGACTTCGAGAGCTTGCACGTCATTAATTCCCCCTGAAGTTCCAGAGCCTGGTGCTGTATGTGGGCTCAGACAGAAAACACTGGATGCAGAACTTGGGGGAAACTGGAGCCACCTCAGCCCTGCCCACTCTGCTAAGCCAGTGTCAGGGCCTGGAATCTTTGCCAGTGGGATTTAAGCAGAGGCTCAGACACATCCAGCAGCCTTTGTCTTGATAAACATATTTCATTAGCCATAACTGAAGTAATTGCCCAAATTCCTTGCCTCTGACACATATCTGTGGTATTTTGACCCAGTTTTCCTCTGAGAGCACTGAAGGAGCAATCTTGAGCTTCCAAAAATAACATTTGATAGATTAAGCAGCACTTACTTCATTATTTATTCTCACTTAGCTGTGGCCAAGCTCCTGATGACTCCAGAAGTCAGCTCTGAAAAGCGTTAGCACTGAAGCAGATCTGCAGACTCCATAAGTTATCCCTGGAACTGTAACAATGTTCTCTCTAACAGGCACAACTCACACTGATGTATTTTAGAGCTTAGAAATTTAAAGCAACTTAAGAGTTTTGGATGTTCAGATCCCATTGAAATCAGCCCCCCAGCCCAGTTTTGGAAAACTGAGCAGCTTTGGTTCAGAGCGTATAAGGGAGAGCCATGAGGGCACTGCAGCAATCATGATCCTGATGTGTTTATTCAGGCTTTAAAATAGAGCCTCTAAAATGAGATCTTGGAAATGGAATTGGCTCCTTTGTTGGTACTGAACAGCACCCACTTCACAGGATGATGCAGCAGAGGTGATGACTGTGGGACTGAGCACACAGGACTCAGGATGCAGGATTTCCCTATAAACTGTGAAAATCTCAGGCTTTTGTGTTTATTTTTTCATTTCCCAAGTCATGTTAATTACATGTTAATTCTTGTCTCCTGTCTTCTGCATTAACTGTGCAAGGTGCCAGCAGAGGGAACACAGCAGCCCAGGGCACAGTCTGCTGTTTCTGCTACTTCTTCCATCACTTGAATTTCTCTGTGCTCAGATGATAAGAATCACATTGTCAGTGCTTTTGTATTCAGTACCTGATCCTTCCTGGAAGTGTTTATCTGTTTAAAACAGCTTTAAATTTTCATTAAAAAACAAACAAAACCACAACCTGTCACGGGCAATATTTCTGTTGGTCATGACAACAACTTTTAGAGGTGACTGGTGAGGTTGAATGGATTTGTTCTTCACTGCCCAGATTAAAACAAGCTGTTCTTAGCAGGTATCCTGAGCTCTGCAAATTATCCAGTCTTTTCATGGTATCTCAAGTTATTAATCATAAATGGAGGCATCCAAAAAACTCTGATCAGTTTTGAAACTCATGGCCTCATTTAGCTTTCATAACAGCTTGTTTCGAACAAAATCTGATGTGGAGCCAAATGAAGTGTGTGTTTAAATGATCCCTTGCCTAAACTATCATGAAAATTTCAGATGGGATGAGAAGAAGGAATGCCACCAAGGGCAGCTTGTTGGAAGCTCGCTACTACTTAGAGACTAAAATAGTGTAATCAGCAAACACTCCGTCACTTTAATGCTTCTCCAGTGAAATCCAACTTTTTGTTTCCTGGCTCAACCACTCTCTTGCATTTTCCTCAATTGCTCCCACACAAATACTAGGACCAATTTTTATTTTGGCACACCTCATTTTCCTGTTTGGTAAAAACCAGAGTTAAGAACAGAATTATTTATCTTGATGCATGTAATACATTTTTGAAGAATCAACATGGTTTTTGTAAAGCCTTCTTAAGCTGTAAAAGCTCTTCAAAGGAAACATGAGCATCAAGAAGGTGCAGTTAGATTTCCAGAAAGCTTTTGCAAGGTCTCACATCAAACTTCCTGAAAGAAACTGGACTTTCTTGTTAGGATATTAAAGAAGGAAAAGTCTATATGGGAACAAAATTAGGTAGGAAATGACAGGAAAAAAATTTCTGGAGGCTGGGAGGGTGCAAGAGGGATGTGTTACATCCCCCGTGTTCTTCCACTCCTTCCAAGCTCCTTGCTCTTGCCTGAAAGCAGGATAGTGGGATTGGCCTGAAATAGCACAATTATGTTCTGTTATCTAATTATTTTGAATGTTTTGTCCCATTTCTGCCTTGATTTGTTTCCACGCCCCCAAACACATTTCCTCTGACCCAGTTTTCTGGTTTTCCTGATTGCTCACAGGGCCAAGTGACTTCCCAAGAGCTTTCTCCCACTCTCCCGTTGATGTGCCCTGTGTCTCCATGTGCTGGGGAACTGTAAAAACAGGATCCACTGGGAATTTTTAGCACTTTAAGGTAAGACTTTTTAACATGACTCTTTGCTAAATGAGTCACTTGGAAATTTGTGGGGAAAATTCAGCCTAGGTTAACTGACTGCATAAACATTTCGACTTTATGATCTTCAAAAGTACAGAAGGATTTAAGAAAGGTGTTTGCTAGCGAAAAACACCTCTGCATACAGCTAGACACAAAATTAGGGTTGTTTTTGCTTGGTTTAGAGCTCACTGCATCCCAAATTGAGGGAAAAACATTCAATTTAGAACTCTGTCATGGACTGAAATTCTTTTTGAATTTCATGTCAAAGTCATGTTATGAAATATTTTATGACAGAGATGTCAAAATGAAATGTTTCACCACTTCAGGCCCTGATCAGGAAAGTCTCCAATGGTCATTTTTAGTTAGATTTTCTAGCCTGTCAGCCAAGGAAGCAGAGGAGAAATTGAACCTGTAGTTTTGGGTTTCTTTTTTTTCCCTCGACCACTTAAAGTACACACTGGTCGTTTTATCACAAGAATGTTACCAAAATCAAGTCCTCACTATCTAGAAAAAGCTTTATTGGGTATTTATTTCACCCAACAAGGATTCTTTGAGATCTTATTTTCTTTGCAGGTAGGCCCTACCCTCAGGGGTAGTGCTGCAGGACAGTATCAGACCTGCTTTTTCCACATTCTGATGTTCATGAAATTTAAAGGATCATCTACAACTTGAGGTCTCTTTGCAGACCCCAGCACAGTTTCCTCAAAGGAGGTTTTTTGTAAAGAGACTCCATAGACAAATAAATTAATGATTTGCAACCTACTAGATTTTCTGTAGCTAAGATTTGGAGCTTTCTTTTCTTTTGTGATGGAACCACTGACTTGTACCAATATTGTAGGTGAAATAGTGAAATTTTTCAGGAAGGAGAAAGATAGGAGAAAATGGCCTAAGGAGTAGCAGATACCTCATCAGTTATGATGAGCAGAGTGAGACACTTGTGAAAACCACCTGGTTGTCCTCTGGATTGAAAGACTCTTGCCAAATCTTACCTAAATTAACTTCTTTCACTTCTGAAAAGAAAACTCAGGCCTGGAAAGACAGAAAGTTCAGAGTCCATGTGGGGATTGCACAGAGAACCTTTGTGTCATTTATTTTGGTGTTCAGCCCCCCAGGCTGCCTGTCCTGGGAGAGTGGCAGACTCTGGAAATGTTGGAATAATTTGGCTGTAGCTTTAATGAAGTTACAGGCGTTGTCTTCCTCAAGGCTGGTGCTGCCTCCTTGGAGAAAGACTTTGTGCTGTGGTGAGCAGTGAAAGCTGAAAGCCCAGCATTAGATGTCATTACTGGATTCTTTTTGATATTGGTTTTTAATATGTGTGCTCCTATTTTTAGAGTTTTATTCTGACTCCTTTAATAGCAACCATTCCATTTTGGTGTGAGGGCTTTTCTATTAACAGTGATCAAAGTGAAATATTTCATTTGAGTTACAAAAAGAGACACTTGAGATGAATGAGGTTCTGCTAGATTTGGGGAGTTGGATGGTTCTGATCTTCGATCTGACTTACAAAGTTAGGAAATTAATGACACAAAGCAGCTCCCTCACAAACAGATAATAATAGAGCATTAGCAATGCACGTTTAGAAAACAGTTTGGAACCTCTTTCTAATACATGGCAAAAAATATTCTGGATGCTATTAGGGATTATAAATAATTCTTTGACATTTGTTTGATTTAAAAACTAAACTAAGGCATCATTTTCTTAAGAACAAATTGAGGTCTCTGAGAACTACAGAATTCAAATATGGGGCTGCTTTAGACCTCATTCTCTTTAGAGTGTGTGAGGCAGCAGGGCTCTATTTTAATTTGTTTTTATTTTGTAGGGAATACTTTAATATAAAGGATATATAAAATTCAATATAAAGAATGGGTAATTTTCAGCAAGAATGAGTGATCTTAAGAGCCTCTTTCTTAGCATCTGGTGTATTCTAAGCAAATCTCTTAAAGTTTGCTTTTTCCTGAACTCAAGGGCACTGGCTTCAGTTGGTACCGAAGGAGAAAAAATTGGAGTGAGGGAGAAGTTTGATTTCTAGCTTGAATTAATTATTATTTACCTTTCAGTTCCTGATAACTGATGGAAAGCAAATGCAGGCAATAAATTGCTGATTTAAAGTCGGGCTGCCTTTCTGCTTGTAATTAATGTAACACAGACCCAGGCTGTTGATGTTCTCCAGAAGTTAACAAACTGAGCACAGAACTATGTTTAGATTTAAGCGCTCTCTGAAGATTTGCATCTCCTGGAGCAGTTTTGCCCACACCTGCCCATCAGAAGGAGCTTTCCTTTAGCCCCACTTGCTCAGGATGGAGAAGGAGGGTAAATTACAACCTGGAAATACAGTGCCAAGACAATTATCCCCGTGCTTTGGCATTATTGCAGTGCTGCCCAGTGTCACAGATAAAGGCATTTTTAGCAGGGATCTGTGTTAAAGCGCTGCCGGTTTGTGCAGCCTCATCCCTGGGTTGTTCACATCCATTGTCCATGCTGTGCTCAGGGAATGTTGAGCTCTGCTCTCCCACGTCTCTGACTGTTGGAACATTGGGACTTTTGACAGCTCAGCCCCACCAGAGTCTTTTCCTCAATGGACATGCAGTGCCCAGGACAGGGATACACAATGGCTTTTCCATAAGTATATCCTTGCCTTGTCAGCCCTCTGGATTTCCAGACTAAGCTTCTGCATTGTTGCTGTGGGACTTTGGAAAAGCCCACAGGTAAAAAATGGTCACTCCTTGACTTAAAACCATTTCATGAGGAACATTAGCATTAAATCATGTTAATTAACATTAATATGAAATACATGGCTTAAGACCTCTCTTTGGGTTTAGCAGTGCTCTAGGAATAATTTAAAAGATGAGCTATTGCTCCCATTGGGATTTTGACTTGAATCCACTAAAGGCAATGGGTGTCCTTGAACTGGCTAAGAAGGCTCTGGGTCAGGAGGTAATTTCTGAGCAGTTTCCTGGCTCTTCATTTTGCTTTGTGATGGCTTCTTTATGCTGGGCTGTATATCAGGGCCCTGCAGAGCAAACCTCTTAACATCCCTTTGCTGTTCTGGGCCCTGAGGCAATGAGCCATGTGTTTTTTTGATGATCATATGAAGACTCAATCTATTTTTAGGGCAATCTTGTTGCCAGGAATAATTTCTAGGACTTCTGATTTGAATGGTGAATTATGTGTCCATGTAAATGCCTGAAATGGATATTTAAAAATACTTTTTCCTGACTTAATGTTTTACAGATTAACACCTCTAATGCTGTTACCAAAAAAGCAATTTTATTTTCTATCTGTTTTGAATTTTTGACTGGTATCATTAGAGACTTCTAGGCCAACACCACAACTTTGGTTTCAAAGCCCCAAGAAGATGTAAGTCAGTACATTTAATAGATGAACAGGAGGGTGATGAAGAGACCACACCCAGTGAATTTTGTACAACCTCTTTCCAGTTGCAATGAAAATATTTTTATTTCATGTTCAGTGTTCTATGTAATGTGCCCCAATGCACTGACCTCTGTAATTCTCAGTGGTTCCCCATCCAGGGCTTGAGGAGTGCATTGATTTTCCTTCCATCATGCAATAAGCACGAATCTCACATCCAGCCTATATTGACACCTGTAAAACCCCATTTAAATAAATCAAAGGGGGCATTTGGGTATTCTCCCACTTGCCTGTAGGTTGATGGAAGAATAGATTGCTTTAATACCTCAGTGATTTATTTGTCAGTACAGACAGCCTGTCATAAAAATAATCAGTATCAGAAATGTTCTTTGGAAGAATCATTTGGGCTATCAATATCTTGGGTGGCTTAATCATCAAATTCATTGCTTTTATTAGGTTTAAATGTATAAATTCCTTTTAGAATGGATTTGAACTTTTAAAACATTTTACTGTTTAGTTGATTGCTTTTTCAAGTATTTCAGTTTCTGAATAGCTCCACAGTATTTGGATTTGGACAAAAGTAAGGAAGAAAAGGCCTAGAAGGATAGTTTCTTCAAAACTGTCTCTAATGGCTCTACTTTCTTCTCTTTCTCTAGCTACAACAATGGTGGCACATGTGCTGTTCCAGTGGATTCTAAGAGGGCTTATTCTGACTTTTCTGCTCAAAACTACTCTGTCCCTAAATCCAGATGATCCCAATGTTTGTAGTCACTGGGAAAGGTAATGTGTAACCTGCCAATTTTTTTTTATAATCCATTTCATGCTTTTACATTTAGAAAGCAAGCTGAGAGCCATAATTAGCTAAATACCACCATGTCTCAGAAAAGAGATTTGATTTACAGAAATAGCACTTTGGAGTGCCTTGGAGGGTTTGGCTCATCCCAAGAAATTGGTTCTAAGGCTGCAGATATTGACCACATCCCCCTGTGCACTTTGGGAAACTCCTCCAGAGTCTGAACAACAGGAATGCACTGAAGTGTTTGCATCCATCATGGAGAGACCCACAGAAATGCTGGCCTTATTCTGTCCTGCTTTTTTCTGCTTGTTGTCCAGCAAGAAAGTTTGAAGCCCTTCCTGCTGCAGCATCCTGGCTGTTTTTGTCTGGCCTGAACTTCAGGGCTCTTCCTGCCAAATTCGTGTCGGCATCAAAGAGTGAACGAAAGCATTGAACATGAAAGGCCCTGGAATTTCTTGTTCTCTCTGTTGTTTCAGTGTCCTGGTCCTAAAAGTGGATCTGAGCAGGACGGTTCCTGTGAGCACAGAGAAACCCACAGCCTTTGATGGGGCTCACATTCACACAGGGGTTGTTTGCAGAGGCTAAAGGTCCTGTACTTCTCAGTTTAACTTGCTAAATTTCCAGTTCTGTTCTCTGGTTCTATTCCACACAAATCTGAATTGCTATACACTTCAGCAAAATACACCCCTTAACAAAGGTAAAAATAGAATTGTATTTAATGACTATGTTTTGAAGCCTTAATTAGAGAATTAACTCTTTGTAGATAATGCAACTGCAAAGCAAAAACTATACAAGAAAAGAATTTTGCATTCTGCGTGCTGAAAGTGCATTCAGAGCACAGGAATAAAATATTGATTTTGTCTGAAGAAAGTCAGCAACCTAGAGACCCAATCAAGGAGAAACAAAAATTAAATACCAAAATTGATTGGTTGTACTGACCAAGATGACTTTGTTAGTTAGATGTTAATAAATCAAAGGGAAAAGATTGTTGGGGCTAATGCTGGATAATAAACGGGATCATAAAATAATAATTGAGATTTGCAAGTGTTACTGTCTTACATTAATAATGAGCAATGTAAATATTTTATATTTTGGCATTAGCAGAAGTAAAAACATTATTGTCAAACCTAGCAAACAGTGACAGGGGGCAAAGCAGGGGAACCTTGGCTTTTCTAGAAGGGACACGACGAGCAGGGCAGGAACAGTGCAATCTTCGATTTCAAGGCAGCCAGCCCCTCCAAGTAAATATCTTGGTATTGCCTTGTGGGTGCAATCTCCCAGGGCTTAATCACATCTGCAGTCCTGCTGATGAGGGGGAAATCAGCTGCAGAATTAAGACAATCCATATAATGAATGACCTAGAGGATCTAATTCCTGGGTGTTGACCTACCTAGGGCGATTTGAGTATTGCTCTCCAAAGATGTTGTGGATCTGATAAAGTGGGGCCTGTGTCCAGATCAGCACCTGAGACAGGAGTCCCTTGAGCACTGCACACACCTGCTGTGGGGCAGTGCTCTGCCACCACTGACCCCAGCATGAGATTTGGGTTCTTGTATCATGTGAGACACCCAACAATAATGAACATAGAACCTGTTGCATGGCTAAGTGGTTTGCATGGCTCAGTTTTGGGAGGATTGCTCAGTTCTTACTATTGTTGGAGCTCTGTGATTTCTCATCAAATAGCCCAGGTTTTGCCTATATCCATTCACTTCTCACCTTCTAAATTTCCATGAATTTTAGTCATATTTGGTTTTTTTCCCAAAAGAGAATGGTTTATTGCTCACAGTGATATCTCTATGTCTGTATCATAAAGCCAAACTTTTCAGGAAGAGGTCTAGCAGAAGGAAGCCCTTTTCTGCTTTTTGCTAATACCCAAAGTTTCTAAGATTCTTGATGTAAATATGTTTCATACTGGACTTCCATGAGCAGCAGATACAGGGAACTGCTGCTTTTCACAGCCTCTCACTCTTTCCTTGTCCCCCCTCAGCTATGCCGTGACTGTGCAGGAATCTTACGCTCACCCCTTTGACCAGATCTACTACACACGATGCACAGACATCCTCAACTGGTTCAAGTGCACCAGGCACAGGTAAGAGCTCATCCTCAGAAACCTCAGCTTCCTGCTGCCTCTTCAGCTCCTCACACACCTCTTGTTTACCCAATAGTTTGTGGTGCTCCAATACAAAGAGGTGTGTTTGGAATTCCAGGGCATTGAATAGAAATACAGAGATTTTTGCCTGAAGTTTGGGTGAGATAAGTGATAGTCAGTCCTTCATGAAGCCATCCAGGAGAATGTATCATTCCACTGGCCCTGACGTGGGATTGGAAATGTCTATTCCCTGACCAGACATGACCAGTTCTCTTTTCCAAGTGACTGGTGCATGTCCAGGTTTGTAAAAGGAACTCCATGCAGCTCCTAAATTGTGAATAATCAGGCATTTGAGGGTTAGGGATAATTAGAAATGGATCTGTGTTAGAATTAGTGCACCCAAATCTGCACTGAAAATCAGGTAAAATGAAGATGGGTCCATTTCTAGGACTGAATGAAAACTTGCACCAAAGAGTTAATTTTTCCCAGGCTGCAGGATATTTCTGTTATATCCATTCTGCTTCCAAAGTATCCTAATAAATATCCACTAATATTCACAATCTTTCAAGGGGATTTTAGAAGCCTTTTTGTATCTCAACTCTCATGAATTCAGTTGCACGTTGGCTGCTGAGCACCATCCCAGTGGGACTGAGGCACTTGGCTTTTTAGCTCCTGAGTTACAGAGTTTGGAAGTGAAAAGAGCTGCAGAGCTTTCTGGAATATTGTATAGATTGTAATGCAGCAGAGTAAATTCGATCAGTTTATCCAACATGAGGGACAATAGATTTTGTTCAATTGAGGTAATTTCCATAAACTAGCAAAGCTGTTTTGACGTGTTTGCTGTTAAATATGCAGTTAAATATTACCTTTCTAAGGTGCTATCCTTGCTAATGCTATGAATAAATGTAGGAATGCTTCAGAATGCTAAACACCTTTCAATTTCTGTGGACTACAGTATTGTGGTGGGGAAACCAGGCTTTATATACTGAACTGGGACTGTAATGACACTTTGCAAGGTATTGGTGCCTTGGAAGGTTTAGTAAGCAGGAAAAAAACTTCCCAAGCTGTGTATCGAGGGCAGTTGCCACTGTGGTAAGGTTTTGTGTAGCAGCTGACACAGTGGTCTCTGTTCCTTCCACTGATGAGATCTGACCTTGCTGATGTGCAAAAATAAATCATTTATTCTTGAAGAACCTCCTTGCCCTTGCAGCAGGACTGGGAAAATGTTTTAAGGCAGCAGCTGCCCCAGGAAGAGCTCCAGTGACTGTCATGAGCATTGTGCTCATAACACGAGTCATATTTCAAGCTTCAAAACAAGTATCGATTCCTCCCTTATTGTGGCGTTTATTATCAAAAGGCTTTCATGCATTTAAAAATAATCATTGAATGCTAGCCTTACCATAATTTAACACAAATATCATTGCAGCAGGAGGCATTGATTTTCAATAGTGTCCCATGGTTTTGTGTCTCGTGCTGCAGGATCAGCTACAAGACCGCGTATCGCAGGGGGCTGCGCACGATGTACCGCCGGCGCTCGCAGTGCTGCCCCGGCTACTACGAGAGCAGCGACTACTGCATCCGTATGTACACACACTCCTGGCACAGCTCAGGCTGGCCTTTGGAGCAGCTCTAGATAAATTAAAGATTCTTTGCATTAGGGCTGGTTTTCAGGGTTATCAGCCGGCGCTGATCGCAGGCAGAATTGTGGGGATGGAATATTTCGGGGCGGTTTGATTAAGTAGGGAGAATTTGGCTGGAGTCATTGGGGAGGGAGTTAGTGAAGTTTCCTAGTGCCTTCTTGAATCAGAGCTTACTTTGGGGAGTAATTAATGCAAGTATTCACCAGTGGTAAGGAATTAGGGGAACTGCGAGCACTCAGGATAAAACCACCACGTAATTTAAGCAGCAATGTAAAGGTTCTGCCTCTTACCTTTGAAAGATCTTACTTCAAGAGTTAAATGAGTTAAAATCTCTTTTTTTTCACAATGGTTCCCATCAACAACTTAACTTTTTAAAGCTTCTCAAATGTCAGAAGAACTTTCTCCCAACTGTATTGTATAAATAAATACAGAGCTCTGGAGTGTTTTAGGTCAATATGAGGGGGGACAAAAATCAAAATGGATCTTTCAGCAATGCCTAAGAGCTTTGTTAATTAAAAATACCCTACATTAGTGTACATTAGTGTCACATGTTTTCAGTATTGCAGCCTTCTGAGTGTTCTGCATGTGCTCAAAAGGAGAGTGGAGATGGGAACTCTTGTCTAGGTCTTGGGTCATGAGATTATGACACAGAAAAACACAAAGAGGTTTTGATCAGCATCAGAATCCAAATTTTATTAACAGGTTTATAATGCCATGAAATAAATGTGAAAATGATACAATTACCCAGCTAACTTCAAACATCTTGGCATTGCTCTTTACAGATCGTTCTTTTTAGCTCTGTTGATGTTTTTATCTGAGTTCTTGTGTTGGACTCATATTGTAATACATGAGCAGCTGAAAACCATGAATGGACCCTGATCTTATTTTCAGTGACCTTTAAGCCAAACAGTTACATTCAAGGGGTTTGCACTGTGAAAAATCACCAGCCCTTTGAGATAAGGCATTAGAATTATTTTACAGAAAGTGTAATAAGTTGATCTTTTGAAGTGCAAAATGCTGTTAGTCAAGTCCTGAAAAACATTTATTGCAACCTATTGTCTTTGCTGGAATCATTCCTATGGTAAGTATGTACCTAACTTCAAATATCTCAGGTGTCAATACCATGTCAGCAGTTGTTCCACATACTTTTCTTACAGTCTTGAATTTCATGACTCAGAATCCTGTCACAGACCATATTTATAATCACTTTTCTCCCTGCAATCTATTGATTTTTTATTTTGAAATTTTTTTAATTGCCATACTATTGCAACAATAAATCTCTCCAGACTTACTGATTCTTTGAGGATATTAACATTTGTTTTGAAGTGTTTTTTTGGTAGTGTTAATACTTAGTGTTTTGCTGCTGCCAGGCAAATTTTATCTTTCTGTGGTGGAGAAAGAACAGCATACACTGAAATTTTGCTAATGCAGAGCAGGCAGCAGGTATCTGGTCAGACCAAGAGCCCTGTGTTTGACACAGAGCAGATAATAGTTACACTCTCTCTGCTGTTTACATGTGCAGGAGTCAGGTTCTTGTATTTCATTATCAGCCTGGTGTGTGCTCAGGGACATCTGCTCTCTGTCCTTCCCGGAGATCGGAGCAGCAACAGCAGCCAAGGGGGAAATGATGTCAGGGAAGAAGTTCTCCATCATGATGGAGTCCAGATGCTTGGACTTATAATTTTGCTACTACAAGTAGCCACACAGAAAAAAAAAAACCAAAACAAACAGAAAACCTCCTTGAAATTCTCTGAGCCCTCAAACAACAGTTTGGAGGCACAGTATTTTGCTAATGGGATCCTTTTCGTGTCACCCCTTTTGTTTGTAACACATCGAGCCCTGATCCCATTTGTTTTGTTTTGTTTTTCCACAATTATGTTCCTGTGCCAACAAGCAAATTCTCTCATTCATCATCCTTTGCAGTCAGCAGTGAATTCCATTGTCATTCCTGGAGGCACTTCTTTGCTTTTGCCTTTTTCCATCCCATTTCTTACTTCTCTTTCCACTGGTCCTTTTTTTGCTGTTTCCTAATGAGGTTGTCCAGTACTCCTGGCCAACGTTCCTCTAGACACATTCAGTGCTGCTCCTCTAAAGGCAGCTGCTCCAAGAGTGGTCAGGACACAAAATTCTGAGCTTTTCCTGAGCTGCCCCTGGCAGGAAGGGAGGGGAGCTCCAGCCCTGCAGAGAGGGCTCTCCCTGCTCAGCCAGCCCTTTAAAATCCATTCCATTAGCAATCATGGAAGCCACTACAACATGGGGAGGAGGGATACATCCTGCAGTGAGTCTGATGATCAAAAGAAAGTTTGATTAAAAAACAGTGTGTAGATTAAAGGCTAATTGGTTCTTCTTTCATTAATAGCAGTCTTTATTTCTTGCAAAAGTTAAATGGCTTTGTAATTAACAGTGACATGTTTAGACTAGAGAGGGCTGAGTTTAAATCTCTATTAATGACTGTTTCTTGGATTTTAAAACAGAAGTGAAGGCTTTCAGCGACTGTTTTGATCTTCTCCCTTTTCATTTACTAACTTTCAAAAGGATGTCAGATATATGGTTTTATCTTTGTCCTCCTGTTGGGGCTTACTAAATAGATTAAGTCTAATAAAATCTACCCTCAGTTCTAAATAATCACGTTGATCCAGAGCTCTTGCGCTGCCTCTTCTCTGGTGTCTTCTTTGCCTTTTTGGCATCTGCTACCCAATAAAATGTGGAATTCAGGCACAAGGTCCAATAATTTACCTGATTGCCTGGTAAATTATACAATTGGCCAGTCCATTAATACTTAGGCTAAACAGTTTTTGGGGTATGAAATTGTTTTTGTGCCTCCAAAGGGCCTGAAATATTTTGGCGTTGCAGTGGTATTCAAAAAATCCCCCCTGAAAAATGCTGCAAATGCACATCTGCATTTTGTTCCCCTTCACTGATACCTTAGAAATGTTGTTACCATTGTGGGAGCTTTGCAAAATGATTCCCCTTCTCTGAATGTTCTTACACTTGACAGAGCTTTTCCCTGAGCTGTCCCCGAAAACAAACAGCACAGTCTGGGCAGTAAATCAGAGCAGCTATGATTTACTGTACTTTGTATGCTAAGGTAAGCTTTTGGCAGAGCAAATGCATAAACTGCAGAAAATCTTTTTTTAAACAACCACAGGGTTCAACTGCCCTTCAAGGTTTTTGTAAGGATGTTTTAAAATTATATTGCCTAGATTAGTATCTGTGGTAGATAAAACAGCTCTGAATACTTTGCTGCTCAAAAAAAAAAAAAGAGAAAAAGAATATTACATGGCTCTTTTGTGCTCTCTAGCCTGTGAGGAGATGGTAATTGAATAGTTCCCTTTAAGAATATGTCAGGTGGAAAGATGCCCTGTGTGCTAAATGGATGCATTTTTGTCTGAGAGACCAATGCTTTGTTCAGTCTGTCCATTTTAATCTTATTCTTGCACAACAGATTTGTACAGAGGAGACACTTCTTGTGGGGAACAAAGGGTCAGAGACCTGACATCAGAGGGAAGGCAGATGGAACTCTGAGCAGCAGCTACTGCCAACTGACTTTTGGGCAGAAAAGCACCAACCATGAAACAAAATTTGGGAATTCACCTTTTCTTCACAGATTGAGTTGAGCTTTTAAGTGTTTTCTTCACTCTCCTACCTTACACTCTTTTTCTAATGTCTAAATCTATGCAATGTGACAGGATGTAATAATGACAGGATTAGTGATTTAACAATCTGATTTGCTGCCATTTATCTGTCTTTCAAACCTGCCAAAATTCAGTAGAGTTATAGATGGACCATTTCATGGTGCTTTCCTTTCTTGGCCAAGATATTATTGATCTCAGATTGTTTCTCAACATTCAGCTTTCCACATCACAATTGTCACAAGCATCAGCAAGGCTCCCTGACTTTGACAAATCTTTTTCTAGAGAAATTGTTGGTCTCACTGGTTGAATCTCAGTTTTTACCTACAGGGATATTTCCCTCAGGCCAGAGGCTAGGGACATTATTGTATTAACATGTATTTATTTACCCAGCTTTTCAACTCACCTTTGTTTGATGCCTTTAATGAATTTCAAAAGCAAATGAGGAATGTTCTTTCAATAGCTGACTTGGGGAAATTATGCAAATATGAGGCCTGATTGTTTTCAGGAGTTTAAATAATGTTTCATAGATTCTGTAATTGCAATAGCCATGCCAGCTTCCTAGTGTGATGTGTGCATTTATAGTGCAGCCATATGAACATTCCCACCTCAGGACTGAATTCCCATTTACAGGGCTCTGTGGCTAGTGCAGTTTTTGTACTCTTTGACAAGGCTGCCTTATTGCAGCCATATGGTTGGATTGTTAAACATCTGTAGCATAGGACTAACAATTTCAGAGCTTCCTGCCATCTGGATGAATTACAATCTCTGCAACTCCACGCATATGTTCCAGCAGCACACCGACACCACAGTCGAGTGTGCTCATGATGAGAAGAAAAAGAATGGCTTGTGTGATCAGTGCAAAAGTTGTACACTCCTAGAAAACGTTAAATCAGCAGCTTAAACTTCCTGAATATTCATAATGTTTGTTCATATGTCAGATTTGTTGATTTTTTTTTCACTTTATAAGGCAGTACCTCATTAGCATTTTAGAAGAAATGTTGCCCCCCCCCTTTCTTACCTCAAGTTTAAATTCCTTGTGGTGAGCATTCCTGCAACTTGAAAATATATTGTTTGAAAGCTGCTGGACTTTTAAAATACATTTTTCTTATCTTTATAGACACACATTAAAGCCAGTGCTGGTGCTTTCTGTGAGAGCCTTACTGTTACATTATTCAAGTACAGAGTCCTGTACATCAATAATGCAACCTAAATTAGGGGAAATGCTATAGCAGGACATAGATACTTCCTATCAGGGGACATTCTTTTTCTCTGTCTGATTTGGGATGTGTGACAGCGAGAAAATGG